GGAGACCAAAACTGCACACAGTACTCCAGGTGTGGCCTCACCAGGACCCTATACAGCTGCAGCATAGCCTCCCTGTTTTTAAACTCCATCCCTCGAGCAATGACACTCCATTTACCTTTTTAATTACCTGCTGCACCTGCAATCCTACTTTTAGCGATTCATGCACAAGGACACCCCAGTCCCTCTGCACAGCAGCGTGCTGCAATTTTTTACCATTTAAAACATCGTCCATTTTTCTGTTATTCCTACCAAAATGGATGAACTCACAATTGTCAACATTGTACTCCACCTGCCAGACCTTTGCCCACTCACTTAAACTATCTATATCCCTCTGCAGACTTTCAGTGTCTTCTGCACACTTTGCTCTACCACTCACCTTAGTGTCATCTGCAAATTTTGACACACCACACTTAGTCCCCAACTCCAAATCACCTATGGGCACTTGAGAGTTCCAAGTTAGCCAAGAAGGACCTAAAGAGAGAGCTAAGAAGAGCCAGGAGGGGACATGAGAAGTCTTTAGCAGGTAGGATCAAGGAAAACCCTAAGGCTTTCTATAGGTATGTCAGGAATAAAAGAATGACTAGAGTAAGATTAGGGCCAGTCAAGGACAGTGGTGGGAACTTGTGCGTGGAGTCCGAAGAGATAGGAGAGGCGCTAAATGAATATTTTTTGTCAGTATTCACACACGAAAAAGACAATGTTGTCAAGGAGAATACTGAGATACAGTCTATTAGACTAGACGGGATTGAGGTTCATAAGGATGAGGTGTTAGCAATTCTGGAAAGTGTGAAAATAGATAAGTCCCCTGGGCTGGATGGGATTTATCCTAGGATTCTCTGGGAAGCTAGGGAGGAGATTGCAGAGCCTTTGGCTTTGATCTTTATGTCGTCATTGTCTTCAGGAATAGTGCCAGAAGACTGGAGACTAGCAAATGTTGTCCCCTTGTTCAAGAAGGGGAGTAGAGACAACCCTGGTAATTATAGACCAGTGAGCCTTACTTCGGTTGTGGGTAAAGTGTTGGAAAGGATTATAAGAGATAGGATTTATAATCATCTAGAAAGGAATAATTTGATTAGGGATAGTCAACACGGTTTTGTGAAGGGTAGGTCGTGCCTCACAAACCTTATTGAGTTCTTTGAGAAGGTGACCAAACAGGTGGATGAGGGTAAAGCGGTTGATGTGGTGCATATGGATTTCAGTAAAGCGTTTGATAAGGTTCCCCACGGTAGGCTATTGCAGAAAATACGGAGGCATGGGATTGAGGGTGATTTAATGGTTTGGATCAGAAATTGGCTAGCTGTAAGCAAACAGAGGGTGGTGGTTGATGGGAAATGTTCATCCTGGAGTTCAGTTACTAGTAGTGTATCGCAAGGATCTGTTTTGGGGCCACTGCTGTTTGTCATTTTTATAAATGACCTGGATGAGGACGTAGAAGGATGGCTTAGTAAATTTGACACTAAAGTCGGTGGAGTTGTGGATAGTGCGGAAGGATGTTGCATGTTACAGAGGGTCATAGATAAGCTGCAGAGCTGGGCTGAGAGGTAGCAAATGGAGTTTAATGCGGAAAAGTGTGAGATGATTCACTTTGGAAGGAGTAACAGGAATAGAGTACTGGGCTAATGGTAAGATTCTTGGTAGTGTGGATGAGCAGAGAGATCTTGGTGTCCATGTGCATAGATCCCTGAAAGTTGCCACCCAGGTTGATAGGGTTGTTAAGAAGGCGTACGGTGTGTTAGGTTTTATTGGTAGAGGGATTGAGTTTCGGAGCCATGAGGTCATGTTGCAGCAGTACAAAACTCTGGTGCAGCTGCACTTGGAGTATTGCGTACAGTTCTGGTCGCCGCATTATAGGAAGGATGTGGAAGCATTGGAAAGGGTGCAGAGGAGATTTACCAGGATGTTGCCTGGTATGGAGGGAAGGTCTTATGAGGAAAGGCTGAGGGACTTGAGGCTGTTTTCTTTAGAGAGAAGAAGGTTAAGAGGTGACTTAATAGAAACATACAAGATGATAAGAGGATTAGATAGGGTGGACAGTGAGATCCTTTTTCCTCGGATGGTGATGGCTAGCACAAGGGGACATAGCTTTAAATTGGAGGGTGATAGATATAGGACAGATGTCAGAGGTAGGTTCTTTACTCAGAGAGTAGTAAGGGCGTGGAATTCCCTGTCTGCAACAGTAGTAGGCTCACCAACTTTAAGGGCATTTAAATGGTCATTGGATAAACATATGGATGATAATGGAATAGTGTAGGTTAGATGGGCTTCAGATTGGTTTCACAGGTCGGCGCAACATCGAGGGCTGAAGGGCCTGTACCGCGCTGTAATGTTCTATGTTCTGTGTAAATTGTAAATAATTGCGGTCCCAACACTGATCCCTGAGGCACACCACTCGCCACTGACCGCCAACCAGAAAAACACCCATTTACCCCTACTCTTTGCTTTCTACTGGTCAACCAATCCTCTATCCATGCCAATACATTACCTGTAATACTGTGCAACTTTATCTTATGTAACAGCCTTTGGTGTGGCACCTTGTCAAATGCCTTCTGGAAATCCAGATACACTACATCCACAGGTTCCCCATTGTCCACCATGCAAGTAATATCCTCAAAGAATTCCACCAAATTAGTTAAACATGACCTACCCTTCTTGAACCCATGCTGGGTGTTCCCAACGGGAGAATTTGTATCCAGATGTCTTACTATTTCTTCCTTAACGACAGATTCAAGCATTTTCCCCACTACCGAAGTGAAGCTAACTAGCCTGTATTTACCTGCTTTTTTCTACTTCCTTTTTTAAACAGTGGCGTCACATTGGCTGCTTTCCAATCTGTGGGAATCACCCCAGAGTCCAGTGAATTTTATTACATAATTGCTAGTGCATTTGCTATTTCCCCCATCACCTCTTTTAGTACCCTGGGATGCATTTCATCAGGGCCAGGAGACTTGTCTACCTTTAGCCCCATCAGTTTGCCCAGCACTGCATCTTTAGTGATAATGATAGTTTCTAGGTCCTCACCTGCTATAACCTTCTTGCCATCAGTTTTCAGCATGTTATTTGTGTCTTCCACTGTGAAGACCGACACAAAATAACTGTTTAATGTCTCGGCTATTTCCTCATTCCCAGTTATTAAATTGGCCTTCTCATCCTCTAAAGGACCAATGTTTACCTTCAACACTCTTTTACGATTTACATATTTACAGAAAATTTTGCTGCCTGTTTTTATATTCTGAGCTAGTTTACTCTCATAATCGATCTTACTTTTCTTTATAACTTTTTTTATGGCTTTCTGTTGGCCTTTAAAGATTTCCCAGTCTACTAGTTTCCCACTAATCTTTGCTTTTTTGTATGTATTTTTTTTAATCTGATATTTTCCTTTATTTTCTTAGACATCCATGGTTGACTTTTTCTTTTCCTACAGTTCTTCCTTATCACTGGAATATACTTTTGCTGAGCACTGTGAAAAATCGTTTTGAAAGTCCTCCACTGTTCTCTCAATTGACTCACCATAAAGATTTTGCTCCCATTCTGCCTTGGCTAACTCTTCCCTCATCCCATCATAGTCTCCTTTGTTTAAGCACAGGACATTGGTACTGGATTTAACCTTCTCACACTCCATTTGTATTTTAAATTCGACCATACTGTGATCGCTCCTTCCGAGAGGATCCCTAACTGTGAGATCATTAATTATTCCTGTCTCATTACACAGGACTAGATCTAGGATAGTTGTTCCCTCGTAGGTTCCATTACATATTGTTCAAGGAAATTATCACGGATGCATTCTATGAGCCCCTCCTCAAGGCTGCCATGACCGACCTGGTTTGACCAATCGATATGTAGATTGAAATCCCCCAAGATAATTGCTGTACCATTTTTACATGCATTAGCTATTTCTATGTTTATTGCCCGCCCCACCAGATGTCACTATTTGGTGGCCTATAGACCACACCTATCAGTGACTTCTTCTCCCTGCTATTCCTAATTTCCACCCAAATGGATTCAACCTTTTGTTCAGTAGAACCTATATCATCTCTCACTACTGCCCTGATGTCATCTTTAAAAATCAGAGCAACACCACCTCCCTTACCTTCCTGTCCTTCCGAACAGTTTGATACCCCTGGATATTTAACTCCCAGTCATGACCATCCTGCAACCATGTCTCTGTAATGGCCACTAAATCATACCCATTTGCCACGATTTGCGCCGTCAACTCATCCAATTTGTTTCGAATGCTCCGAGCATTCAGATAAAGTGCCCTTATGCCAGTTTTATGTCAGTGTATTACCCACAATCCCACGTGGTCTCACACTGTTTACTAACCGAGGATGTGAAGGTGAAAGAAGAGACATTAAGAGTAGAATCGAGGAAATTGTCCGGTTCAGGATGAAATCTGAAAACGACACCAGTTCAGTGACTGATGTACCAGGGGAAGAGGTGGGGGAAGGGGTTAGAGCAGAACTGAACCAAGGAAAGTTCCACATCTCCTACAAAAAGACAGCTGGAGCCAGTTCCTGTCTGGGTGCTCATAAGTCACACCTTTGGTTTGAAGCAAGTGAGTGAGTGGAAGGAGATGTTATTTAATGTCAGAATAAGCTCAGCCTGGCAGAGAGATGGTGATGGAGATGGGAGGGAAACTGGCAGTGACAGGGAACAAGTGGCTTTGGGGTGTAATGTAATTAAACTTATGTGGAAAAAGACAAATGTTACTTAAAAGTTGTAACAGTGGTAATTAGAGTTCCCATGGTCCTGAACCCCTCCCCCAAACACTTACTGCCTGTGCACAGCAGCCCCTCTGTTCATGTCGTGACCAGCAGAGTCATTAAACATCAGACTGTCGATCCACTGATATCGGCACCAGCTTCTCTTTAATCACACCTTGGAGCAATGAACTACAGATCGCAAGGTAACAAATATCCAGGGCAGAAATGCAGATATATCCAAATATAAAATGTTAATTAAACATAATTTTCAACAGAAGGACAGAAGTTATGACCAATCACTGCTGAAGCAGATACTTTATTTCCAAAAGTCATATTTACATTCACAAGACATATCGGTACAATATCAGGACAAACATCCAGAATAAAGATACAAATATATCCGACTTTAACATATTCATACAAATCAGCACCAGATTTGCTTTAATCAGACCCTGGAGCAAACTGTACAGATAGAAAAGGAATCATGATATCTGACAGATTCGAATATAAACTATTTACAGTACAATTACTTAGATATTCTGGAAAATTAAGAGTTAAATGTACAGGACATACATTTGGCCAGAGGCAGTTTCAATGTGTAAACCATCCAGAATCTGTTGCTGGCTTTGGCCAGTAGACATTGCTGCAGAGGGAGCCTGAAGCCTCTTCCCATATTACCTGCTGTCAGAGCACCATCACTACAGGGACTGCAGTGGGTCAAGTCCAGATGGAAAATAAATGAGCTCCTGTTCAATTCAGTTTCTGATGAAGTTATCTGGTGTTCCCACTCACTCATCAATAGGATATTTATCAAAATATCTTGGAAAAAATCTCTACCAGGTTTGATCAAAGGGTAGATGCCAAAAAGTGAACCACGAGACTGAGTTTAGACACAGTCTGTAACAGTAACACTGAGCTATAATGCAGAGAATGAAATACTCCGACAGTTTTCCCAGTAAAGGATAAAACCTCCACTGGGAATTTCCCTCCTGAGATTGTGCTGCTCAGAAAGGTTTGTGCAAAGTGGGAAGTGATTTTTGGTCTCAATCCTGAGCTCAGACTTTCCACCAGGAATCACTCAATCCCCACAACACGGTGCTGATTTTCCCCTCCTTGACCCAGGCTCAGTGCAGTGGAAACTCAGTTAGTGCTGGATAGCCACGTTCCCCAGAAGGTTTTGTTCTCCAGCCGCTCCATCCTGATGCCCAGGTGCTGTTGGCACAACGCTCCGTGCTTCACCTCAACAGGTCATCTCCCAAAAGGGGTCACAATTAAATGCTTTATTTCGATTGCTGGAGTGTCAGTTTCAAACATAATCCCAAAAGAAGAGAAACAAACAGAGTGCAGGTTACATTAAAAGAGTCCAGCACTTTGGGCAAATGTGAATTTTTAAATTTCTTCATTCATGGGATGTGGGTGCCACTGGCTGGACCAGTATTTATTACCTGTCCCTAGTTGGCCCTGAGGAGGAGGTGGTGAGCCGCCTTCTTGAACTATTTCAGTGGGTTGACCCACAATACCCATTACGGAGGGAATTCCAAGATTTTGGCCCAGCAACAGTGAAGGAATGGCAATATATTTCCAAGTCAGCAGGTGAGTGGCTTGGAGGAAAATTTGCAGGGGCTGATATTCCCATGTATCTGCTGCCCTTGTCATTCTACATGGAAGTGATTGTGGATTAGGAAGGTACTGTCTGAGGATCTTTGGTGAATTTCTGCAGTGCATCTTATAGATGGTACACACGGCAGCTACTGAGCATCTGTGGTGGACGGAATGGATGCTTCTGGAGGTAGTGCCAATCAGGCGGGCTGCTTTGTCCTGGATGGTGTCAAGCTTCATGAGTGTTAGTGGATCCGCACCCATCCAGGCATGTGAGGGAGATGTTCATGAGCATAGACTCGTTAAATAACACTTATCATCATGGGAACCAATGGCACCTGGACAATGGGTGACAGGAGCTGCACGGTGATGGAGCACAGAGTGTACAGGAGAGGAGGCTTATAGGGGAGGCAATGGGCAAGAGCTGGACACTGCACAGGAGCTGTGCTGACTGACAGAGGGAGGGCCAGAGAGACAGTGAGATAACCTTGCAACACTTCCTGCTCCCACTGTGAGGGTGTATGTGGGGGAAGGCGGTGAGCACAGACACGTGGAACAAAAACAAAGTTGCTGGAAACTCCAGTGGGATAATATTTGCTCCTTTCCAATCCATGGAGACTGTTCAGCAGTGAGAGGATGACAAGGTGGAAGTGACTGGATGATACTGCTCAATGACAGGCTGGACTGAAGCATCCTCACAGCTCAGGTAATGGACAGGGACAGAGCCCAGCATCATTTCATACAGTTTTATACAAAGAGAATTGTGGAATATTCCAGAACTCACCATCTTTTTCGCTTTTGAATGGTATAAACCACAATTGCAACAACAAAAACAGCAACAATCCCAATTCCCAATCCAACTCTTGCTCCAGTTGAGAGTCCAGGACCTGGAGATAGAATGAAGACATGAGCAGATTGAGAGACATGAACAAAACTAACAACAGAGACCTACAGGCCATAATGTTTCAGAACTAGCCCAGTACAAACAGATCCCTGGGTAATTCTAGTCCCGGAGCGATGTGGGACGTTACATACCAATGATCTCACACACACACTGCCCCACAATGGGATCGATACGCGCTTTACAACAGAAACAACTGGACACTGACCAGCAGCTGCTGAGCTTATTTTAGTTTTAACCAAAGGTGGTGATGGCGTGTTGTTTCTGTCAGTGTGACTATGTCCCACTGTCTCCCAAGTTGGACCCCAGTCTCCAGATGTTAGTGAGGAGCACTTTGCAGGGTCAGCTGGGCTGGCTATGCCATTGCTGTGTCCTGATTCGATGCCTGGCTCACAGCCAGTGATCCACTACATTTTATCGTGGATTTTCCTGTCCAGGAGTTTGATACAAACTGATGGATGTGCTCAAACAATTAAAGAGGGCAATTAAAAGCCCGCCAGTTTAGTTTGGGACTGAAGTCATATAAACACCAGACCAGGTAAGGATGGCAGGTTTCCTTCCCTAAAGAGACATGAGTGAACCATTTGGGGTTTTACAACAATCCAACAGCTTGATGGTCACTTTTATTGGGACCAACTTCCTATTTCCAAATTTTTAGTTAGTAAATTAACTGTAAAATCTGAAAGTGCCATGGTGGGATTTGAACTCTCATTCTCTGCATTATTAGTCCAGGTCTCTAGATTACTCATCCAGCAACATGATCCCTGCATGACCACCCCCATAAAATCCGAGATGAAACACAGAATACCGGAAACAGAAACCCCTCATCTGTTACAGAGAGATGAATGAAAGTGCAAACCCATCCTCTCAGAAATCTGACACACGTACTGGTTTTGGCTTGACTCCCTGAGGTCAGAGATCAGAACTGACCAAATGCCTTGTTCCAGTTGGTCTTTGAACAGGTTTGTTCTGTTTTTGAACTGTAAATCTTATTCTCTCAAATTTTCACTTGTATCAACAAACCTGTGTACAATTTCATTCTTGGGTGTCCCCCAGATTAACAGTAAATTAGAGACTGGGTTATCCCCTTTGTAGGTACAGGGCAGTAGCACTGACTCAGGATTGCACTATTTATAATGACAAATTATAACCCAACTCTTACTGAGATAGTAGGAACTGCCAATGCTGGAGAATTGAGCTAACAAGGTGTAGAGCTGGATGAACACAGCAGGCCAAGCAGCATTAGAGGAGCAGGAAAGCTAACGTTTCGGGTCTAGACCCTTCATTGTTTTCTCAAACTGGAAACAGCATACAGTCACACATGGAACCAAGTAAATCTCAACAAGATGAGGAAATTCCCTTTCTCCCTGGGCTGGGGAAGAGCAGGTTACACCTGGATCAATATTACT